GTCTAGGCTAGCCCGGGCAAAAAGCCCACTACGAGACTCTGTCAACAATTAGGCTAGAGTGGCAAGTGCATAATAGGAAGATTTCGATCCTGTCACGGGACGGGAACCAACAAGGTGAGGCCTCTCAGGGAAATAGAACACATTCCTTGTTGCAACGGCTGACATTGATCATCTTTCCATACGTTGAGGTATCTCTGTGTCTTAGTGAACAGTTTGCAGACACTCTTCACCTATTTTTCTATTACTGTGATGTGGAATTCTCTTCCTGCATTCAGGAAGTACACATTTTATCTGTGATGTCAAAAAAGTGGGTCCCCCCCCCCCCGCATAGTTCTTCTTTTTCGTATCTTTCTGATGTTGCCTGGAGTTGTTTCTGATTGAAAAAGTGGAGAAAATCGATAGAGTTTCAGCATTTCCTATCCCAATTAATATATAGAAATGATTCCCCTGGTTTCTTCTGTTACTTTTTTATTATTATTTTTTTACGGTTTCATTTTTAATATTTTAAGTCTTTGACTCTCTGGGAGTGTATTCTGGAATAAGGCATAAAAGTATGGACGAGTTAAACCTTTTCCAGGTGGTTTCCCAGTTAGCAGCAATTTCGATTAAAAACAAAAAAAAGACTTACCTTTTTAAAAAATCCACCTACCTGAGTTTAGAACATTCCCAGGGTTGCTGGGAGGAGAAGTTAGCGCAGGGGCTCGTAAGAGCTGTCACTGGCTCGGGCATCCGGCAGCAGGCCTGAGCTGGTGGTGTGGTTCACCCTGCTCTCTTACCGAGTGGTGTTTTGTCTTTTTAGTTCTCCTGCCAATCTGATAAAGCACGCTACTGCGAGCCGCTGTTCCTTTAGTGGGAGGAGATAATTACAGGAAGGAATGCAGGAGAGAGCGTGCCAAAGGTCTGCAAGTGGAGGCTGAGAAGTAGCCTCTGGTCCCAGTGGGAGACCTTGGAGAACTCGGCTTTGGGGCGAGGGCCGGGGAGGTGGAGGGGAGGGAAGTGAGGAGATACGGCAGGGACCAGAGCCAGCACAGGTTCAGGGAGAAAGAGATTTGGCCCCGTGGTGGGGTCATCTGAAACTGAGCAACCCATGGTATGGGGTTTTCTACCACTTGACTAGAAGGAGAGGGGGAAAGGGGTGGTGGTGTATGTGTCCTGAAGGATCTGAGATGCTCAGAGGCTGGGAAGGGAGACAGGCCTGGTGTACAGAAAGGGTTCGTGGGACACATGGTCCTTTGGGTCTGGTCTGTGCCCCCCCTCGATGTTAGGCTCAATGAGAGCCCAGAGATTGTCCCCTAAAATACCTCTCCAACTGCCTTCCCCATGATCTCCAGGTGCCTTCGACCCCCCTGTCATTGTAACTGAGGCCTCTTTCAAAAACCCAGTCCTGAGCTCACGCCTGTCACCCTAGCTACTCAGGAGGCTGAGATCTGAGGATCCTGGTTCAAAGCCAGCCCCGGGCAGGAAAGTCCATAAAACTCTGATCTCCATCGAACCACCAGAAAACCGGAAGTGGCGTCATGGCTCAAAGTGGTAGAGCCCTAGCCTTGGGCAAAAGAGCTCAGGGACAGCGCCCCAGCCCCCTGAGTTCAAGCACCAAGACTGACCCCCACCCCCCAAAAAAATCCCCAAACCAAAAAAAAAAAAAACAAAACGCACACACACACACAAAGTCATCTGTGATCAGTTGTGTTCTTCCTTCCTAAAGATCAGCAGTGATGGCACAAATCTCCCACCTGATGTACTTTCTGCGTAGTCTTAGTCCTCCCTCCGCCAGGTTTATTACCCTCCTCTACCACGCGGGATTCCAAAGGCGCCAGCCAGGTTGCTTTGGTCCCACCCCGGGGCCTTTGCCCCTGCACGTCCCCAGGACACGCACATACACACGCCTCTCCAGGTTAACTCCTCTCCATTCATCTCCTCTCCATTTGGAGGCTCTTCCCCAAAACTCCTCAACATATCAGGTACTGTCCCCCCGCCCCCTCCCCAAAAGCTTTCTTGACACCCTGTAATTTCCCCTCACAGCAGTGATTACCCGCAACTGTAGTTAGTTATTTTACCACTCGCTTGCTAATTTCTGTCCTTTTCCCAAGATTATATAAACTTGGCGTGTGTCTGTATCCCCCCTGTGGCTAATGGAATTCCTGTGATAAAGCTGGCCTTCAGTAACTTCTTTTTTTTTTTTCTTCCCTGCCCACTGATGAATGGGGAATAGTGAGAGATAACCAGCCAGCAGTGAGCCCTGATTCCAAGTATCATAAACAAACAACAATGTGTGTGGCCCCCCCCACACAGGGAAGGCCACATCCTATCCTCCATTAGCCAAAAAAATAACCTTTTCTTCGAGGCGTCCCATCCTAATTACTGCCTGCGTCTGGAACGCGTCTCTCCCTAGTCCAGCCTACTCCTCCGATCACTTATCTATCCAACCCTGGTGGCACCCGCTGACAGGAGAAGAAAGGCAGGGAGGAGGCAAAATGGAGCGAGAGACCGCATTATGGCTTTCCTCAAACGACGGGGGACGTATTTTCCTTTCTCTGGAGTTCTTTCTTCTCTCTCTCTCTGGATACACAGCAACGCAGCCCCTCTCATTTTCCTTTTTAAATTTATTATTTCTTCTTTCTTTTTTGCTTTGATCGCTCCCTCAGGAGCTGTCGCCGAAGCAATGAGATCTGTAGACGTTTACAACTCGGGGGTCACCCGGCCGTGCTCCTGCATTTTACAGATGCGAAAACTGAGGCCCAGAAAGGTTAACGCCGGCAGCAATTACCTCCGCGGGGTCTTATAAAAATGCTCATCAGCGTCAGTTGTTTTTTTTTTTTTTTTTTGAAGATAAATGTTCTCCCGGTACCCCCGGCTACGCGTGCGCGGCTGGTGACAGCCATCTCCCGGTTACCGTAGAACGTAAAGGCGGACGGCCGCCTTGCTACGCTAAGCCCGACGCAGGCCGCTCCGTGCCGGTCGTCTCTCGGTGTTGGCCTTGGGTGCTCGTAGACTCTGCTCCCCGCTGGTCCAGCCCCGGCCCTCCACTGGGTAAACTGAGTCGCGTTCACCTGTACACTGCTGACCCAACTGGAACAATGGGTGGAAGCTAGAGAGTCCCAACCACGGCAGAACAGTAGAAGAAACCTGTCCTTTCTCTGTGTGTGTGCGTGTGTGTGTGTGTGTGTGTGTGTGCGCGTGTGTGTGCGTGTGTGCGTGTGTGTGCGTGTGTGTGTGTGTGTGTGCGTGTGCGCGTGCGTGCGTGTGGTGTAAGGTCCATGGAGAGGAAAAGTTTTGTAATGACTCAGGATGGGGGAGAGTAGATTTGAAAACTTGATGTGAAACACTGTCAGAACCTCCTCCTCCTCCTCCTCCTCCTCCTCCTCTTCCTCCTCCTCCTCCTCTTCCTCCTCCTCCTCCTCTTCCTCCTCCTCCTCCTCCTCCTCCTCCTCCTCCTCCCCCCCCTTTTTTCTCCTCCTCTTCCTCCTCCTCCTCCTCCTCTTCCTCCTCCTCTTCCTCCTCCTCTTCCTCCTCCTCTTCCTCCTCCTCTTCCCTCCTCCTTCTTCTCCTCCCTCTCCTCCTCCCTCCTCCTCCTCCCTCACCTCCCTTCTCCTCCTTCCCCTCCCCCTTCTCCTCCTTCCCCTCCCCCTTCTCCTCCTCCTCCCCCTTCTCCTCCTCCTCCTCCCTCTTTCACCTCCTCCTCCTCTCTCTTCCTCTTCCTTCCTCCTCCTCCCTCTGCCTCCTTCTCCTCTTCCCCCTCCTCCTCCTCTTCCCCCTCCTCCTCCTCTTCCCCCTCCTCCTCCTCTTCCCCCTCCTCCTCCTCTTCCTCCTTCTCCTTCTCTTCTTCCTCCTCCTCTTCTTCCTCCTCCTCCTCTTCCTCTTTCTTCTTTTCCTCTCCTCCTCCTCCTTTTCCTCCTCTTCCCTCCTTCTCTTCCCTCCTCCTCTTCCCTCCTTCTCTTCCTTCCTTCTCTTCCCTCTCCTCCCTCTTCCTCCTCCCCCTTCTTCCTCCTCCCCCCTCTTCCCCCCTCCTTCTCCTCCTCTCCCCCCCCCAATATGAACCATCGACGCTTTCCTCACTCCCTGAGTTAACACCATCCGACATTTCTCCTCCTTGCGTCTCTGCTTGAGATTTGCCCACCCTGGGGTTTAGTTCGCTTCCTTAATTAAAGTTCCCTCTCAGAAGCTTCCCCATCCTTAACGTCTTCCGAAGATGTTGGGAACGGGTTTGTGGAGAAACTGGCAAGTTTTATGCTCGCGTGGGTTTTGGAGCTAGGAGGGAGTTTTCCCACGGAAGTGAGGCGCGGCGATGGGAGAGCATCGCTGGCTCAGAAGCGTCCCTGTCATGAGACCTCTGGTCCACAGAGGACGTGGTTAGCCCGCATGGCACCCGCCACTGCTCCGGCCCACGCGCTGTGGCACAGATGATAAGAAGCTAGAGTTGCAGCGTGCAAGTTGTGAGCTGGGTGAGGGCATGCTTCCTAGAAGAAAGCCTGTTCCGTTTGTGGAGCGTTACGAGTGCCCAGCAAGCGTGAGGATCTGAGGTCAAATCTCTGCTCCCGTCAAACATGAAAATAAGAGGGGTTAAAAAAAAAAAAAGGTAACCGGTGCGCCGGTGGCTCACGCTCTGTCATTCTAGCCACTCAGGAGGCTGAGATCTGAGGATCACTGTTCAAACGTGAGACTCTTACCTCCAGTAAACCACTCACAAAACCGGAAGTGGCGCTGTGGCTCAAGCGGTAGAGCACTCGCCTTGAGCTGAAGAGCTGAGGGACAGCGCCCAGGCCCAGAGTTCAAGCCCCACGACCGACCCTCTTCCCCCCCCCCCCCCCAAAAAATGGTGTGGCAGATGGGTTGTTTGTCAAGTCAAGCAATGGGGTGGCTGAGCTCCTCAGGCCACATCTGGTCCAGGCTCTCCTCTCCGCCACCTCCCTCCTTCTGTCTTCTTACTCTGTTTTTTTTCTCTTGTCCCATGTGTGCGCGTGCACGCGCGTGTGTGTCCGCGGCTGGCTGGCTGGGCACAGTGGGAAGAAGTCAGCGGCTACGACGAGAACCTGAACACGATTCGGACCTACCAGGTGTGTAACGTGTTCGAGCCCAACCAGAACAACTGGCTGCTCACCACCTTCATCCACCGGCGGGGGGCGCACCGCATCTACACGGAGATGCGCTTCACCGTGCGGGACTGCAGCAGCCTCCCCAACGTCCCCGGCTCCTGCAAGGAGACCTTCAACCTCTACTACTACGAGACCGACTCGGTCATCGCCACCAAGAAGTCGGCCTTCTGGTCCGAAGCTCCCTACCTCAAAGTGGACACCATCGCGGCCGACGAGAGCTTCTCCCAGGTGGACTTCGGGGGAAGGCTGATGAAGGTCAACACCGAGGTCCGGAGCTTCGGGCCCCTCACGCGGAACGGCTTTTACCTCGCCTTCCAGGATTACGGAGCCTGCATGTCTCTCCTCTCGGTCCGCGTCTTCTTCAAGAAGTGCCCCAGCATCGTGCAGAATTTCGCCGTGTTCCCCGAGACCATGACGGGGTCCGAGAGCACGTCCCTGGTGATCGCGCCGGGCACCTGCATTCCCAACGCGGAGGAAGTGGACTTGCCCATCAAACTCTACTGCAACGGGGACGGGGAGTGGATGGTGCCCATCGGACGCTGCACCTGCAAGCCCGGCTACCAACCCGAGAACAGCGTGGCCTGCAAAGGTAAGCCAGGGGCCTCCGAAGAGAGCCACCTGTCCGTCCGTCCTTCCTTCCTTCCTACTTTGGGACTTTCCCTAGTTTTTGCTCTGGGTCATTCCAAGATAGAACAAAAAGAACCTCAGGGTTTCTTCGCAAGCCCCGGAGAATTTTCTATCCTCACTGCTAGACTCGATGAGTTCCCCGATGTGTCCAGCCTAGCTCTTCTGTGTTGACGCTGGGAAGTAGAGATGGGAGAGAATTCTGAACCGTGGAAAATAATGCAGCAGATGATGATTCTTTTTAATTTGGGAACACACACCTTCTCTGTGTCTGTCTGGCACACACATACACACACACACACACGTATCCTGTATCGGTCTCAAGCTCTGGGGAGAATGGAGTGTTTGGATCGCCCATAGACAATTCACTCCAAAGGTAATTGGGAAGTGACTGAACTTGGAAAATATTTTAGTTCATTTCAATGCAGCCCCCACAGCGGTGAACTTGGTATTGAACCCATGTAGCTCATTAACTCGAAGTCCTCGGGCTTGGCTGTCTTTCCCGGGGGCCGAGTGCCAGGCCTTGGAAGGAGATGAGGCGGCTGGGACGGGGGTGGGGGTAGGCGGAGTTGAAGGACGCCGCAGAGTGACGGGGTTCTCTGGGGGTGCGCGGGCACTGCGCGCTCCTCCCCACTCCCCTCCGATCCGCATAAAAATGCGGGGGACTCATTCTGCTTCGGGAGTTGGATGGAAGGGTCTGGAAGCCTCACAACTCCCGTCTGGCTCAAGTTAACAGAATTCTGGGCCCGGGGCCGTCCGGGATTGGCGAAGAGTTCACGGGTCTGCATGATGACATCTTTTTTTTCCCCCCCTACCTTCGGAGGTTCTGATTGTTTTTAAGAGGACAATTTCCAAAATGGCGACCTTGACCGTGGGGTATTCTCAGCCCTTTGGGGGTCTGGGGACTGTATTACCCCATTCAATCTTACGATCCCATTGGAACCACCCCCCCCCCCCCCCACACACACACACTCTGCCTGAGCACTCGACCGGCTCATGCCTGTTAAACTCCCCCCCCCCCCAACCAACGCCCCGTTTTACCTTGCTCCCCAAATCCTTGCCAGCCAAGTGCTTGGCACGGGATCACTATCGGCCACAGGCTGTACAATCCCATGAACTGAGCTAATTGCCCGGGCTGGGTCCCTCACACAAGCTTTTCAGAAGCCTGCTGGGAGCACCGAGCTGCGCCTTTGTCTCTTTATTGGATTTCTTGGTTCTGGTACCCATGATGGATGGCGTGGAAACAGAGGGGAGAGACGGCCAGAACCAGTCATGAATCAACAGAGACAGTTTAGAAACCAGCCCAGCCTGGTTCCTGGGTTGGCACTCCTGGGGGCGGGGGGAGAGGCCAAGGGTATGTGTGTGTGTGGGGGGGGGGATGGAGGAGGCTGCCTTTATTAGCATTCTTGGGGTCTGAGTGGAGGCCAGGATGCCAGGCTTAGTCCTTAAAGACAGGGGTGCAGCAGCTGAATCCATGCACGGGTGGTTTCCAAGGACTCCCACGCTGTACTTGCTGGCCGGGGTCCTCTCGTAGTTCTCATTATTTTCCATGCAAACCTTCCTCCCCCCCCCAAAAAAAAAAACAACACTACCCACAAACTCATGGCAGGAGCTGGAGGAAGCACGGATTGGTTCTGATTTAATTGGGACTCTGGGAACAGGCTCTCATTTCTTTGAATTAATTGGAGCTGTTCTGGTTGTTGTTTTTTTTTTGCTTTGGTGGGGTGTGGGGGTACGTGTTCGACTGTCCACGCTGTTTGTCAGTCACCCCCACGCCCCGCCGCCATGATTGTCCTAGAAGGGCTCGTGGGGACAGATTTTGTAAATCCAGGTCGTTTCTTTCCCTCCTTCCTGTCCTGGTTTTTGGTGGGTGTTTCTCATCTCTGACGGAACCTTGCACGCTGGGCTTGTCGAAGGGTGGAGGTAATGAGGGGCTCGGGGTACCCTCACCCTGCCGTGGTCGATGTCTGGCATCTCTCAGGGCTGGGGGGTGGGGCCGGGCAGCCAGACGCCGTGTTCTTTGGCCCCATGTTCTGTAGCTGAGCTGAGAACCCTGGGAAGGTGGAGGTAACTCCCTGTTCTTTTGACGTAAGAACGTCATGTCACATCCCACGGATGCTCTGTCTTCAGTACTGTCGGCATCTGGTCCCTTGGCGGTTCAGATGGACTTCACTGCCCCAAGACTCCTAAGGGACCGCTCTGGACTCCCCACGCTCTCTGGTGATGGGGTGAGAGACTGGTGGCCGATCCTCGAGAAGGTTCTCGAGGCTGCGCCCATGGCTCATGCGTCATCCTAGCTACTCGGGAGGCCGGGATCTGAGGATGGCGGTTCAAAGCCAGCCCGGGGCAGGGAAGTCCGTGACACCCTGAGAATCAACCACTCAGAAAACCGGAAGTGGCGCTGTAGCTCAAGCGGTAGAGCGCTCGCCTTGAGCTGAAGAGCTGAGGGACAGCGCCCGGGCCCAGAGTTCAAGCCCCACAACTGCCGAAAAAATAAGGTTGTCAACCCACTTTGTGTGCTGGACTGTGCTGGCAGGTAGGCGCTGAGAAGTTTTCAGAGCGGTTCTGGGGACGGTTTCCTGAGAACACTCAGCCATCACAAGGCCAAAATTAGGGAGAAAAAATAGTGGATTCCAGAAACTTGGCAGAGGAGAAACAGTAAACATCTTTAACAAAACTTCCCTCTCCTCCTCTCTCCCTCTCTCCCCACGTAGCCTGAAATTTGCTGTTCTGGGAGGTTGGCTGCCTGGATAGTTCGTACTTCCATCTGATAACATTTTTCTTTTCTGGGTATTTGCATCTGGGACTTCACATGAGTTGACTCTTACAGTGGCAAGGAAAAAAATGTCCTTTCTGTTTCTGGTTGCATGTCATTATATCGTTTTTTTCCACTTTTTTTTTGGTTTTTGGTCGGTCGTGGGGCCTGAACTCTGGGCTTGGGCGCTGTCCCTCAGCTCTTCAGCTCAAGGCGAGCGCTCTACCACTTGAGCCACAGCGCCACTTCCGGCTTTCTTGAGTGGTTTACTGGAGATCAGAGTCTCAGGGACTTTTGTGCCCGGGCTGGCTTTGAACTGCGATCCTCCGATCTCAGCCTCCTGAGTAGCTAGGATGACAAGCGTGAGCCACGGGGGACTTCTTTTCCTTACATGGTTGCTTTCTCTTCCCCACGTGAGGACACTTTTTTTTTTGCCCTCCCTCGCCCTCCCCCATTCCACCTTGGTGATTTTCTACCTCCATATAAATTCCTTCACGCCCAGGAAACCCAAGGGACATTTTGACCCTTCCAACAGTTTCTGCGTCTCTGTCGAACCACTGAGACAAGTCCACTTTGTAAGCTTGGGGGAGTTGAGATGCACGCATCTGCAGGATTCGATGGTGGAGGGGAAAGCAAATGTGTCTAATTTAGCTGCTCTTGGCCAAGAGAAAAAAAAAAAAAAAGAGGCTTTCAGGGTTTATTTCCATCTCCCCGAGGGGTGCCGCTCCCAGCTCTGGGACTCCCTGCTCTCCTTATCTTGAGGTGTTGAAAGAGAAGGGGGATGTGTGAGGGAACATGCACCCACACGCGTGTGTCCACGCACGCACGCATCTGTGTATTCACACGTGGGCACGAGTCAGGGCACTGCGATCACCCGGCAGCAGCCACAGCCGGCTGATGGGTGGGAGCTATAGCCCACAACCACCACGGCCTCCCCACAAACCCCCCGGGGAGACCGGCTTTGCCCAGGGAAACGAGAGCCACCAAGGCCATTAACACCAGTAGCCGTGTAAGATGAGCTTCGTAATAGGATTTCCCAGTAGGCCTACTTCATTTAGAAACCTCTCAGGCCTACCCCCGCGCCCCGTGGCGGCCCCGTCCAGCTCCCTCCAGAGAAGAATCCGATGTAATTGGCTGGATGTAATGGGCTGTGACACCAGACTCGAACAACAGCACGCAGAGCTGGAAGGCTGTTCCTTCCGCAGTGCCCCCCCCATCCCCCCCACTCCCCCCCCTGGCGGGCTGGGCGCTGGTGGTGATTGTAAGAAGAGGGTTTTTTTTTTTTTCCTGGGGTCTCGATCATTTGGTTCTCTGTGCCTGAACCACCCACCGCCATTTCTGGTGCTGACCAAAGCCGTGCGGACTCTTTCCACGTCACGGGGGCGGGGTGTGTAGCTGCCGAGACTTGATACAGCCCGCTCACCCCTGACTTAATTAATCCGCATCATGGTGGGAGGGGAAGGGCCTTGAGGTGTGTCGTCAGCTGACCCCAGCGTCATCCGTTCTGTGGAGAAGGATCTATGAACAGGTCCAGGGAGTGGTGCGGGGATGGGCTTGCATCTCGTCTTACTGGTGCTAACGGGGCAGGCCAGGAAGCCTTTCCGTGCACTAGTGTGTGTGTACAGATCCCCGGCTGGTTATTCTTGAGCCCAGGATTAGACAGCACAGAGGCCTCTCCTCTCGAGACTCAACCATCCTAAAAACTACATGTTTGGAGCCGGGCGCCGATGGCTCATGCCTGTTCATCCTAGCTACTCAGGAGGCTGAGATCTGAGGATCGTGGTCCAAAGCCAGCCCGGGCAGGAAAGTCCCCCGTGAGACTCTGATCTCCAAGGAACCGCCAGAAAACCGGAAGTGGCGCTGTGTGGCTCAAGTGGTAGAGCGCTCGCCTTGAGCCGAAGAGCTGAGGGACAGCGCCCAGGCCCAGAGTTCAAGCTCCACCACCGACAATAACCAAAAAAAAAAAAAAAAAAGCACAGCGTGTGTTTTCAGGAAGTTCAGCTGTCCCCTCACAAACGCTTTTCTTAGGGGAGAGACTGGGCAGAGCTTGACTGCTCACTGTTCCAGAGGTGGGAAGTTCAGGTTCGAGGCGTGGGCGGGGAGTTCAAGTTGAAGGCGAGGGTCGCCTCCTGCCACCTCCCAGGGCAGAAGAGCAGGCTCTGCCCTCTGCACCCTGCCTTCCTCCCCTGGATGGGGTGAGGTGTGGAATT